TTTTTTTTTTTTTTTGCCAGTCCTGGGGCTTGAACTCTGGGCCTGTACACTGTCCCTGAGCTCCTTCTGGCTTTTTTTTTTTTTTTTGTATTTTTTGTATAATTAATTGAAGATAAGAGTCTCATGGACTTCCCTGCCTGGGCTGGCTTTGAATTGTGATCCTCAGATCTCAGCCTCCTCCTGAGTAGCTAGGATTACAGGAGTGACCCACCAGCATTCAGCTGTTTTTTTTAACAATCTTTAACAGCTGTTCTGTCCCTTCTCTAGGTCCAGGTCCTAAGGCTCTCCCAGAAGCCTCTGTCCTGCCAGGAACCCTCTTTTGCTCTTTCCAGGCCTAGTTTCCTAGTATGGCTAGTACTTATATGTAAATTCTGGGCTCAGATCCTGGCACTTACTACTGACCCAATGCCAAGATATTTACTAACACTGGGTCTCAATCCCCATCTGTAAAATAGGATGACAGTAATAGTATCTACAATAGCCAGCTGTTATGAGAATTGTATTAGCTGGATAGAATAATTCAACAGTGTCTGTTATAAAGTAAACCTTCAATGACTATACTCCACAAACCCAAGGTGCCAATGACTTCAGCTGTACCACTAAGAGAAAAACCTCTGACAACTGAACTATGGCATACCATCAATTTTCAGATACAATCCAATCTCAGAGATGACAAAATATGTACTTTTTTCTGAATTGATAAGTAATAACATAAACATTGGGTGTTTGGTTTTATAAGGTAAAAAATTAGGAGAACCTTGCCAGCAAAGGCAACTGATTCCTTTATCCCTCTTTCTCCTTGCCCTCCTTTCAATTTAAAACTCTTCTAAAGAGAATATTTTTCTGTATAGGTCTTATAGACTTCTAAAAAAGGAATCCCAGGACTATTCTGCAAGAATGAAGGCCATAAAGAAATTGAATGGGCTGGGCACTGGTGGTTCATGTCTGTAATCCTAGCTATTCAGGAAGCTGATAGGAGGGATTGCGGTTTGAAGCCAGCTGGGACTGGGAAGTCCATGAGACTCTCATCTACAATTAGTCATCAAAAAGGCAGAAGAGGCTCAAGTAGTAGAACACCAGCCTTGAGTGAAAAGGCTAAGGGACAGTACCCAGGCCCTGAGTTCAAGCACCAGTATCAGCACACACACACACACACACACACACACACACACACGAACAAAGGGGCCAAGAACACAGAGGGGAGGTAAGGACATACTTTAGGAAGGTTAGACCGTGGTCTTGCCCATCTTGTACTTGAGAAGAGCAGATAGTACACATCCTGACCCCAGCCCAAATCCAGCCCACAGGCCAGCTTCTGTGTGAGTTTTTATAAAGGCCTGAGACTCCCAGGCCCACCTCTTTGTTGAGTCTGTCCACAGTCCTGTCTAGCAAACGCTTCTGCTCCTCCAACTCTGCCTTGCTCCTGCGAAGTGCCTCCCGCTGCTTCCCTTCTTCCTCCAGGGCCCGGTTCAGGGCTTGCTGTTCCTGCCCCATGCGCAACAGCCCCCGCTGGGCCTCATCTAGTCGGATCTCCAGTGCGCGCTTAGAAGCTGCCAGACTCCCCTCCTCCTCCTGGGATACATTTAGTGCCTCTTGTAGCCGTTGTTTCTCTGCCTGGGAGAGGGGAGAGGAGAGAAGGGAGATGTGAGGGAGCTGATCAAAGGCAAAGCTTGGGCTTAAGGCATTTGGAGGTAGATAAATGGGAGGGGGGGGGAAGAAGGTATTTATTCAAAAGTGAGCAGTGAAAATAAGACTCAGAGGAATCAGCAAAAGACATTAAGACCTTGGAGAGCAAGCAAGGGGTGGGACATAGGAGACAAAAATACTAGTGTAAAGTCTGAAACATTCACACCAAAATGCACTCCAGGAAATAAACCCAAGGTGAACAGAGGATTTGGAAGGCAAAAGAAAAAGAAACACAGTACTGATGGCTGACTGTTTAGCAAAGGAGTTAACTTGGCCAAGGCTACAGGTAGAGAGGCCTGCAAGGAGGCCAACCCCGGGGGCAGGTGCACTGACCTCCAGCCGCTGCACCTTCTCCCGAAGTCGCGCCTCCACCACTTCCCCACCCTCCGCCAGGCCTCTTGACTCCTTTAGCTGCTGCTCCAGACCCAGGATGTGTCGTCGGAACTCATCATTTTCCTCCTGGGTCTCCCGAAGCGTGGTCTCCACTGCTGCCCGTCGCTGCCCCAACATTTCAGCCTCTGCCTTGGCGGCCAGCTTGGCCTGCGGGCAGTTGGGAGCAGCCGCTCAGACCAGGAGGCCTCAGAGCCCACCAGAGCTAGGTTTAATTAGAGAAGGATAGCCCCAGCCAGGGGCTCCACTGAGAATCTCACCCCTACACAAAGGCAATAGGTATCACCAGGTAACAGCAGCCTCCACGGCCACATCATGCTTTGCACCACACACCTAAAGCCACAGGGCTGATTGGTACATACCCATCATAGGTAACTTTCCATGCCCCCTGGCTTCTCAGCCCTACCTCAGCCTCCACCTCCTAAGCCCTGGGCCCACTCCCCTTGCCTTGGAAGCCTCTTCACAGTCGAGTCTCAGTTGCTGGATGGTTTTCTGCAGCTGGAGGTTCTGCTGTTCCAGTTCTCGGCCTCGATCAGCCTCCACCCTCAGGACAACCAGCTGCTTCTCCAGCTCCCGGTCCCTGTGTCGCCCAGACATCTCCTGGCTCTGTAGTTCTGCCTGGAGCTCCTTAACCTCCTCCTTTGTCCGGTGCAGCTCCTAGATGGGAGGGAAAATGGTGATGGGGAGACCATCACAGCAAGAATGAGACTCTAGAAAGTGGAAAACGTGAAATTCTCACACATTGTGAATCAGGGCATAAATGATGTAGCCACTTTGGAAAGCAATCTGGCAGTTTAGTCAGAAGTTGAACACAAAGCCGGGTGCCGGTGGCTCATGCCTGTAATCCTAGCTACTCAGGAGGCTGAGATCTGAGGATCACCATTCAAAGCCAGCCCGGGCAGGAAAGTTCGTGAGACTCTTATCTCCAATAAACCGCTAGAAAACCGGAAGTGGTGCTGTGGCTCAAGTGGTAGAGCACTTGCCTTGAGCTGAAGAGCACAAGGACAGCGCCCAAGCCCAGAGTTCAAGCCCCATGACTGACAAAAAAAAAAAAGAGTAGAACATTATGCATCCTTAGAAAAGGGAAAAGATATTTGTTTCCACATGGTTGAGCCCTGAAAACATGATGTCAGGTAAAAAATAAAAAATAAAAATAAAAAGCCAGAAATGAAAGACCTCTTACTGTAGGATTACAATTGCATGAAATAGCCAGAAGAGGCAAATCCAGAGAGATAGCAGGTTGACTACTGGTGCCAGTGGGTTCAAAGAATGACTACTAATGGTCATGCATATCTGGTTTGGGTGATTAAAATATTGTATAAGTAGATAGTGGTGGCAGTTTCACAACTTAGAGTGTATACACTAAGAAAACAACTGGCTTGTCCTTATTTGGGGGGGGGAGGGGTCAGTCATGGGGTTTGAACTCTGGGCCTGGGCACTGTCCCTCAGCTCTTCAGTTCAAGGCTAGCACTCTACCAGTTGAAGCACAGCACCACTTCTGGTTTTCTGGTAGTTTATTGGAGGTAAGAGTCTCATGGACTTTCCTGCCTGGGCTGGTTTTGAACCATGATCCTCAGATCTCAGCTTCCTTAGTAGCTAGAATTACAGGCATGAGTCACCAGCACCCAGCCTGGCTTGTCTACTTTTAAAGGAGGAATTTCATAGTTTATAAAATATAACATCAGGGCTGGGAATGTGGCTTAGTGGTAGAGAGCTTGCCTCGCACACATAAAGCCCTGGGTATTCCTCAGTACCACATACACAGAAAAAGAGCAAAGTGGCTCAAGTGGTAGAGAGCTAGCCTTGAACATAGAGAAGCTCAGGAACAGAGCCCAGACCCTTCCTGAGTTCAAGCCCCAGGAATGGCAATAAAATAAATCATTAAGAAATTCTATGTAGAGCTAGGCACCAATGGCTCATGCTTGTAAGCTTCTCAGGAGGCTGAGATCTGATGATCACAGTTCAAAGCCAGTCCAGGCAGAAATATCTGTGAGACTCTTATGTCCAGATAAGAAAAAAAAAGCAAGAAAAGGAGGTGTGGCTCAAGTGGTAGACTGCCAGTCTTAAGTGAAAAAGCCAAGTGAGCGCACAAGCCCCTGAGTTCAAATTCCAGCACTGGCATGAAAGAAAGAAAGAAACAGAAAGAAAGAAAGAAAGAAAGAAAAAAAGAAAGAAAGACAGGCAGACAGACAGAAAGAAAGAAAGAAAGAAAGAAAGAAAGAAAGAAAGAAAGAAAGAAAGAAAGAAAGAAAGGAAGGAAGGAAGGAAAAAAGAAAGAAAGAAAGGAAGGAAGGCAGACAAGTAGATGAACTTATAGCTAAAACAAGACTAGACAAGACTAGCTATCTATAAAATATAAACTAAGGCAGAAAAAAAGGTAAGGGTATGGCTTAAGTGGTAGAATAGTTGCCTAATAAGCACTAGGCCCTGAGTTCAAATCCTACTACTACCAAAAAAAAAAGTAAGAACTAGGCATGGTTGTATATACCTGCAATCTCAGCACTAATGAGGATCAGAAGAGGATGAAGAGTTTCAGATCTGCTTAGGCTACATGGTATGACCCTGTCACATCAACAGCCATATCAAAATAATAGTATATGAGCCAGGCGCCGGTGGCTCACACCTGTAATCCTAGCTACTCAGGAGTTTGAGATCTGAGGATCACAGTTCAAAGCCAGCTGGGACAAAGAAGTCCTTATGAAACTCTTATCTCCAACTAACCACTCAAAAACTGGAAATGGAGCTGTAGCTCAAAGTAGAGTGCTAGCTTTGAAAAAAAGAGCTCAGGGACAACACCCAGGCCCTGAGTTCAAGTCCTACAACTGACAAAAGTTAAAAATACCATTATTTTCACTGTCATTAGTTTTACGGTAGAAATATAATACACAAGCATTGACTAATATTTGTAAACTGAGTGCCTACTACCTATCTAGGACAGTATATCCATGAAATTAGAGATAAATGCATCTTCAGGAAGCCTGAAATGCCAGTGTCCCAATGAAAGGATTTTCTAAATTATCCAAGTTGTCCAAAAAATAACCCATTGCCTTCTTATCCTTCATAAACTGAAACACTAAGAATATCAAGAAATTATGTTCCTATCAATTTTATGACCTTTCATTTATGACTCATGAAGCATCACCCTAGGCATGATTAAAAAAAAAAATAGAATTGACTAAGAAAACAAAGACCAAAAAGGGAAGCTGACTGAACTTTAGATGGTACCAAACCACCAGCAAGGCTGTGCCTTGGAGACTGGGAAGACGGACACACTAAATGCGAGGGATCCTTTATTTCCCCATGACTAGACTGTGTACTTTCCAACAGCCTTCAGATTACAGTCTGGCTTCGCATGTAGGTCAGCTAGCCATGCCAAGAGAAGCATTCCAGTCCACGTGATCGTATTTCTCATTGTAAATTAATAAACCAGCATTCTAGACAAAAATCCCGTAGTTAATATCATAACCATAGCTAATGAATCCACCCACCCCGCCCCTAGAAGGACAGAGCAGCTTTTGCTATGCTGACCAAATTAAGTTTCTGAGCCTATAAAAATGACCTTGGACTTTCACAAATCCACCTAAATGCTGCTACCCCATGAGGTCTCTTGGGAGGTTGCCAGCATCCTCTGGCTCTACCCCAACCTGGCTACTGAGAGCCTTTTCCACTACAAACCTCCAGAACCAATGAGGAAACCAGTTCTATTGTGCTGGAAAGAAAACAATGCTGTAAGGTCTGCACCGGCAGCTGGCCCCATGAGCATGAGGACCCCTGTGGATAAGACACCCAAGTGCCTATCACCCCAACTTGCCATTCTGTTCCCAAACTGCCAGGTACCTTCTTGAGTTCCTCAACTTGTTGAGCATCTCTACCACCACCTCGAGACTGATCCAAGTTCCTTTGTAAGACCTCTATCTTCTCCCCAAGCTCCTCTTCTATCTCCTCCTTCTCCATGCGCAGCTGCAGGAGTCTGAGCCCAGCAAGATAAAATAAAGAAGAAAGGGAACAGGGTTAGGACTCTAGCCTTGCACTGTCTGACAGTGTAAACCAGTTCTCTGGAGGCTACCATCTTGAGTTCCCACTCTCAAGGAAGAAAGTGGATTTGGAGAAAGGCAGTTTAGGAAATGGAAGAACACAGCATGTTAGAAAGGATTGGCGAGGGCTGAAAACGTGGCCTAATGGTAGAGTGCTTGCCTAGCATGCATGAAGCCCTGGGTTCAATTCCTCAGTACCAAATAAAACAGAAAAGGCCTGAAGTGGCACTGTGGCTCAAGTGGTAGAGTGCTAGCCTTGAACAAAAGATGCTCAAGTTGGGCTGGGAAGGTAGCTCAGTGGTAGAGCACTTGCCTTGCATGCATGAGACCCTGGGTTCAATTCCTCAGCACCACATAAGCAGAAAAAAAAAGCCGGAAGTGGCGCTGTGGCTCAAGTGGTAGAGCGCTAGCCTTGAGCTGAAGTGCAGGCCCAGAGTTCCACACGACCAGACACCCCCCCCCCAAAAAAAAAGACGTTCAGGGAGAGTACCCAGGTCAAACCCCAGGACTGGCAGAAAGAGAGAGAGAGAGAGAGAGGATTGGCTCGAATTCTAGCTAACTGGGAGGTGGAGATAGGGGATCCCAGTTCACTGTCAACCAAGGCAAAAAAGTTTATGAGATTCCATCTCAACCAATGGCTGGATGCGGTGGTGTGTGCTTGTCAAACTCAGTGACATAGGAAATCATAAGTAGGAGACTGAAGCATAGGCTGGTCCTGCCATTAAGCAAGACCCTTCCTTGAAAATAATCAACACACACACACACACACACACACACACACAAAAGAGCTGCATATGTGGAAGCTAGATCTAAAATGTAACTGGACATAATAACTTATACAGACTCTAGGCATTCACACACAATCAGACTAAAGGAAGACACCCTTAGGGGAAGGAACACAAAGGTATAACTCCTCTGAACATTTCAAATACTATTTATTGAAATGAACTCCAAGAAATGGGAACATGTTTTGCTTTTGTTTTTGTTATTGTTACTGTGGTAGTGTTTGGTGTTTGTGCTTTGGGTTTGTTTTCTTCTGAGAGGGGAAGGGAGGGAGGAAGAGTGAATAAATGCAATCATGCTATGCAGTATACACTATGTGGAAAATTACTTATGTAACTTGTGGGGAGGGATCGCTGGGGGGAAACTGGGGGGAAGTAAAGGAAGGGATGACAAAAAAAGAAATGGCCAGCCAGGCGCCGGTGGCTCACGCCTGTAATCCTAGCTACTCAGGAGGCTAAGATCTGAGGATCGAGGTTCAAAGCCAGCCCAGGCAGCAGAGACCATGAGACTCCTATCTCCAATAAACCATCAGAAAACCAGAAGTGGCGCTGTAGCTCAAGTGGTAGAGCACTCGCCTTGAGCTGAAGAGCTGAGGGACAGCGCTCAGGCCCAGAGTTCAAGCCCCACAACCGCCAAAAAAAAAAAAAAAAAGAAATGGCCAGATGCTGGTGGTTCACACCTGTAATCCTAGCTATTTAGGAGGCTGAGATCTAAGGATTGTGGTTCCAAGCCTGTAAGATTCTTATCTTCAATTAGCCACCAGAAAACTGGAGGTGGCACTGTGGCTCAAAGGGGTAGAGCACTAGCTTTGAGCAAAAGAGCTCAGGGACAGTGTCCAGGCCATGAGTTCAAGCTCCACAACTGACAATAAATAAATAAATAAATAAAATAGTACTTATTACCTCACTTATGAAATGGTAGCCCCTCTGAATAATACCTTAATAGTTAAAATTAAATTAACTTTTTTGAAAAAGGGAGTTGGAGAGATAACTCAAGTAGACTGTCTAACAAGTGTAATATCCTACAGTATCTCAACAAAAGAAAAAGAAAAGTAGAAGGATCTAAGAGTCATGGATAAGTGCTCCCCAGAGAAGATGAAGTTCTTACTCTTGCTTGGTAGCTCTCAGCTCTTCTTTGTTCTTCTGAAACATGTTCTGCCAATGCCCTGTTTCCTCTGAAGTCTCTTCTAGCTCCCTCTGAAGTTCTAGTACCAGGGTTGACATCTTCTGCCTCTCAGCCTCCAGTGCTGCATGGTCCTAGGGAAAAGAAAGGCAGGCTCAGAAGGCTCAGGCTCAGGGCAGAGCTCACTTCAAGGCGATCTGAGAGTGTGCACAAGGGGAAGGTCAGGTTCAAAGGGCACCATGCTGACTGCACTCTGACAACCCTGGGGGTACCTGGTTCAATGCCAGTGAGCCCACCTTCATAATCATCTATAGGAAGCCTCTCCTAGTTACTTCCCCCGACAAAACTTAGTCACAGCCAGGCGCTGGTGGCTCATGCCAGTAAACCTAGCTACTCAGGAGGCTGAGATCTGAGGATCACGGTTCAAAGCCAGCCCAGGCAGGAAAGTCCGTGAAACTCTTATCTCCAATAAACCATCAGAAAACCAGAAGTGGCGCTGTAGCTCAAGTGGTAGAGCACTAGCCTTGAGCTGAAGAGCTGAGGGACAGCGCTCAGGCCGAGTTCAAGCCCACGACCAACAACAACAACTTAGTCACATAACCTTCTGGCCTATGTTCCTCCTCTCTTGTCTCATCTCTCTCTTCTCCCCTCGCCTCTCTCCTTTCCTCTCCTCTTCTCTCTCTCTCTCCCTCCCCCAATATGTAGATTTCCTGGACATGATTTTCACAACTTCTTTAAGGCGAGTTCCTAGTTGCAACCATGAAAAGTCGAAACATAATTTAAGGCTGCTCCCTCCTCTCCCAGGGCCTGCTTTTGTCACATGCCTGCGATGCATCCTGCATGCTCCGGCGAAGTTTCTCTGTGTCTCTTTGGTACTGCTGCCGGACATGTTCCACCTCTTGGTCCCTCGAAGCCACCTCCTCCTTCAGAGCCCCCTTCAGGGCGGTCAGCTCCCGTTCTCGCAGCCTCAATTGCTCCTCTACTCGTTGTTTCCCTTCTAAGACTTCTTCTAGAAGTTCCCGGGTATCTACCAGGTCCTAGGAAAAGATCAAAAGGGGTGACTATATTAGGAACCATCTGTTTAGTAATAATTCATCCATTTAGCTGAAAAAATAAAAATAAGAAGTTAGGTGCCAGTGACTCAAGCCTATAACCTAGCTGAGGATCATGGTTTGAAGCCTGTCCAGACATACCCATGAGACCTCTCTCTGCCTTTGAGTCTTCCTGAAAGCACACGAAATAGTACCTGTTATAAGCTAGACAACATTGGGCACATGTGAATAGCAAACATGGAGTGGGCCAGTTGAAAGGAAGCTGAGACTAGGGCATACAACCCCATACTCTACCTTCAGAAGCACCTCTTTAGCAGGCTCAGGGCTCTGGCCCTGTTTTAGCTTGTTCTGTAGCTCCTTCACCTGGGTCTCCAATCCATGCCGTAACCTTTCACCCTGGTCCAGGAGGAGCTTCATGTTCTGGAGCCTGGTAATAAGCAACATTATTGAACACTATGTGTCAGGCAGTTTTGAAATACTTTTCATATATTAGTTCATTTAAACTTCCTTTAAAAGTATCTGTTCAGCCAGGCCCTGGTGGCTCACGCCTGTAATCCTACCTACTCTGGAGGCTGAGATATGAGGATCACGGTTCAAAGCCAGCCCAGGCAGAAAACTCCATGAGACTCTTATCTCCAATAAACTACTAGAAAACCGGAAGTGGCGCTGTGGCTCAAGCGGTAGAGCGCTTGCCTTGAGCTGAAGAGCTGAGGGACAGCAACCAAGCCCAGAGTTCAAGCCCCACGACCGACAAAAAAAAAAAGGTATTTGTTCACCTCTCTTTTGTCATTTGTTTTGGATTTTGTTGTTCCATCGGTTTAGTTTTTGCTGTGGGAATAGAACCCAAGGTCTTGTCTGTATTATTTAAGCACTCTACCACTGAGCTACATTCCCAGCCCTTGTTTAAATCTTAATGACGGCTCCCCTGACTATCTTATATAATACTGCAATCCTCTAACAATGTAGTCCCCTTGATCTGTCTTAATCTACTCTATTCAGCACCTTCTTATGTGTTACACATTTACTTACATACCATGCTTGCTAACTGTTTGCCTACTATGTTTCCGGAAGGCAGAACCCTTCATCAGCATGGCTACCTCACTGAGGTATCTCAGGAACTTAGATTAGTGTCTGTCATCATTGGGAAGGCATGTGCTAAATAAATAAGTAAATCCTCATAATGAACATATTTTATAGATTAAGAACCTGAGACATTGCCTAAAATTCATGCATTATCAACATTACTGACAGAGATGGTAAAGAGAAGCAAGGGGCTCAAGTGCTGGTGGCTCATACCTGTAATCCTAGCTACTTAGGAGGCTGAGATCTGAGGACTGAGGTTCAAAGGAAGGAAAGTCTGTGGGACTCTTATCTCCAATTAACCACCAGAAAACCAGAAGTGAAGCTGTGGCTCAAAGTGGGTAGAGTACCAGACTTGAGCATAAAGATCTCAGGGACAGTGCCCAGGCCCCAAGTTCAAGCCCCACAATCAACAACCCAAAAAAAAGAGAGAGAGAGAGAGAAGGTAAAGAAAAAGGTTCTGTGATTGAACCATCCCTGCCCCTTTAAGCTTCTGGAGATTTCCTGTCTCCTTCAACCCTGGGAAGGGTGACCTCTAGGTCCAGCCTAGAGGTCAAACAGGGGCCCCAAACAGCCCCACATGTGCCATCCACTGCACTCACTCTTTGGTGCTCTGCTGGACTTCCCCTTTCCTTCTTTCTAGGAGCTCCTGCAGTCGGCTACACTCTTCTGCTTTCTCCTCCAGTTGCCGCTCCAGCCCAACCTGGGATGGCTCTAGCCTCTGCCGCTTCTGGAAAAGAGGATAGCAAGTAGAGAGTAGAGAAAAAAACAGAAAAGATCCACTATAAAGGAATGTCCAACACATATTGGACACTTGATCTATGATAGACATTGTACTATGGGCCTCATACATATTTAGGCATTTCATCCTCACAACAAACATAGATATTTGGAATTATTAAAAATATGTGCAGGGCCGGGCGCTGGTGGCTCATGCCTGTAATCCTAGCTACTCAGGAGGCTGAGATCTGAGAATCCCGGTTCAAAGCCAGCCCGGGCAGGAGAGACCGTGAGACTCCTATCTCCAATAAACCACCAGAAAACCGGAAGTGGCACTGTAGCTCAAGTGGTAGAGCGCTTGCCTTGAGCTAAAGAGCTGAGGGACAGCACCCAGGCCCAGAGTTCAAGCCCCACGACCGACCAAAAAAAAAAAAAAATATGTGCAGGGCTGGGAAGATGGCTTAGTGATAGAGTGCTTGCCTAGCATGCATGAAGCCATGGGTCTGATTCCTCAGTACCACATAATCAGAAAAAGCTGGAAGTAGCGCTGTGGCTCAAGTGATAAGAGTGCTAGCCTTGAGCAAAAATAAGCTCATGGACAATGACCAGGCTCTGAGTTCAAGCCCCAGGACTGGCAAAAATAAACAAAACATATATATGTGTGTATGTGTGGAGAAATTAATTAGCATTTCTTTCGATTCTGAGTGTGGGCTAGAATAGAAAAATGAGGAACTGACATGTGAATTCTGATGTTAGGTCATAAAAAGGCACTGCACTTTTTCTTTCATACTTTTTCTCTTACATCACTCATTCTGAGGACACTAAAGCACCTCTATGAAGGGGTCCTTACACTCAAGGACTGAGAGCTTCAACCAAAGCCATTTAATTAAACCATTTAAGAAGCAGATCCTCCATCTCCACTCAAGCTTGTGAGTGTGAACTTTTAACTTGGGTCAAAACTTCCCAGCTGAGCTGATCTCAGATTCTTGTCCCTCAGATCCTGGGAAATGCTTATTTTAAGCTGTTAAATTCTAAGTATGATTAGTTTTACAGCCATAAATAAATAATAGTACTTTTATCTCCACTTTGCAATTAAAGAACTAGAAGCTTAAAACACTTAAAGAACTTATCCAAGTTGTTACATAGCCAAGAATCAAGATCTAAATCTATTTACTTTGGTTCTATAGCCCATCACTTAACAATTACATTGCTGTGCTTTCTGGGGTTTTTTTGGTCATCATGGGGCTTGAACTCTGGGCCTGGGTATTGTCCCCCAGCTCTTCAGCTCAAGGCTAGTGCTCTACCACTTGAGCCACAGCACTGCTTCTCGTTTTCTGGTTTGTTTTTTTTAGTTGGAGATTGGGTCTCATGGACTTTCCTGCCGGGGCTGGCTTTGAACAACAATCTTCAGATCTCAGCCTCCTGAGTAGCTAGGATTACAGATGTAAGCCACAGGTGCCTGGCTGCTATGCTTTCCTGGAAACAAGAGGCCACTTATAATGAGCACCAACTACATGAAAAGCAATACTGTGACAAACTTTACAAGCTGGGAGCTGGTGGTTCAGGTCTATATTCTAGCTACTCAGGAGGCTGAGATCTCAGGATCAAAGTTCGGAGCCAGCCTAGGAAGAAAAGTCCATGAGACTCTTATCTCCAATAAACTACTCAGAAAAAAAGAGGGGAGTTACACTGTAGTTCAGGACCAGCAAAAAACTTCACAAAAGGGCCTTCAAATTTTAAGAGAAAGCGATATATTCTTTTTCTCTTTTTCTTTCTTTTTTTATTTTTGGTGCCTGGGGCTTAAACTTAGGACCTGGCTCGTCCCTGAACTTTTTTGCTCAAAGTTAGTGGTCTACTTGAACCACAGCTCTACTTCCAGCTTTTTGGTGGTTAATGGAAACGAGATTCACGAATTTTCCCACCTGGACTAACTGAACCGCAGTCCTCAGATCTCAGCATCCTGAGTACTTAGGATTACAGACATGAGCCACTGTTGCCCAGCTAAAGCTATGTGTTGGGTTTTTTTTTTTTTAATTCTTTCTTTGGGGCTGGGATGTAGCTCAGTGGCAAAGCGCTTGCCTAGCAAGTGCAACATCCTGGGTTCGATCCCCAGTACCAAAAAAGAAAAGACCAAAAAAAAAAATACAGTTAAAAAAAAACAAACAAACATAAATTCTTTCTCTGAAACATTACCAGAGTAAATCCATTTAACTTCTGGGATCTTCAGTTTTCCCATCAGAAAAGAGTCCAAAATGCCTCTTTTATGGGTCAATTTTATGATTATATATTACTCGGGACAGTATCTACTACAAAAATTACATTTAGTAAATGACAGTCATTGTCACTGCCAGCATTACTTATGATGCAAGAACTTGAGACACAGGGAACATGGGTAATAAGTTCCACAGAAACCCCAAAATCCTTGTCAATACTAATATAGTAATACAACTTGTCCCATAGCTTGCAAAAGCCAGTGTCAGCAATCCCCAGGCCAAGGTGTTTTCCCTGTGGTCCTGCATGCCTCCCAAAATGCTAACTTCTCCTCACCTTCATCTCTTCATCCAGCTTTTTCTGTAGTTCCTCTACTCTTCGGGTGAGCTCGCCTTGCCCTGCCAGGGTCTTATTAGAAGCAGGAGCAATCATCTGCCACAAAGATATAGGACAAGGAAGGAGGATAGGACATGAGTCCAGATCCAGATCCCTAGATGTCCTCAAGATCCAAACCTTAGCCGGGCACTGGTGGCTCACGCCTGTAATCCTAGCTACTCAGGAGGCTGAGATATGAGGATCGCGGTTCAAAGCCAGCCCGGGCAGGAGAGACCGTGAGACTCCTATCTCCAATAAACCACCAGAAAACCGGAAGTGGCGCTGTAGCTCAAGTAGTAGAGTGCTCGCCTTGAGCTGAAGAGCTGAGGGACAGCGCCCAGGCCCAGAGTTCAAGTCCCACGACCGACAAAAGAAAAGAAAAGATCCAAACCTTAACCCTTGTTCCTACCAAGTTCATGAAGGTCACTTACCGAGAGAGGCTGCATCTGCTCCAGCACCAAACTAACCTTCCTCCGCACAGAAGCTTCACTTTCCGAGCTCCTAGAAGACAGAAGGGCAGAAGCGAAGGGGAGGGGAGGAGAGAGGCAAAAGAGATAAGGAAAAGGAAAAAAACAAGTAAAATGGAGACAATGAAAAAGAAAAGTGACGGAGCAGGCCCCACTCACCCCTCCCTCAGAATGCCAAAGATGGTGGCCTTCACATGGTCCATACTGTCTGGTGGGGCTGTCTCCTGCTGATCTCGGAGAAGGTCTGGAGTTGATTTCAACTGCAAAAAACAATTTTTTAAGAAGAGAGAGCTGAGCCGGGCGCTGGTGGCTCACGCCTGTAATCCTAGCTACTCAGGAGGCTGAGATCTGAGGATCGAGGTTCAAAGCCAGCCCGGGGCAGGAGAGACCGTGAGACTCCTATCTCCAATAAACCACCAGAAAACCGGAAGTGGCGCTGTAGCTCAAGTGGTAGAGCGCTCGCCTTGAGCTGAAGAGCTGAGGGACAGCGCCCAGGCCCAGAGTTCAAGCCCCACGGCCGACCAAAAAAAAAAAAAAAAAAGAGAGAGCTGAGTAAGGTGAGGCATGCAGGTTATCCCCAGGAAAATCACAAGACCTTATCTAAAAAAAAAAAAATTTTTTTAAAAAAACCATAGCAAATAGCAAAAAAGGGTTGAGAATGTGGCTCAAGTGATCAATCACTTGCCTACTTGCCTGACAGGCATGATACTTAGTTCAAACCCCAGGACCACCAGGGAAGAAAGGAGGAAAAAAGTAAAGGAGGGAAAGAGGGGAAAAGGGGAGAAGGTGGGGGAAGGAAGGAGGGAAGAGGAGAGAATATAGAAGGGGAGAAAGGAAGAGAAGGAGGGAGAAGAAAGGAGGGAGGGAAATAGAGGTGGCATCAAGGAGATGAGGCCACCTCTCGGCATGATGAACTTTGCTGATAAGGCCTGAGCAACAGGCCTCATCCCCTCTAAATTGTCACTCTGAACCAGATTTTCTTCAATAAGCAGATCTCAACCAGCTGTGGGCTGTGTCACAAAGCATTTGCCACTGTGACAGTTGATGTACTATATTCAAATATTCATAAATGATTTACTTTCAGAACGGACTTAAGTTTGTCTCAAAGTAAAGTTGCTCTCCCACTTACCTGCATTCCTGAGAGAGAGAGAAAGGCATAGAATTTTGGCAAGAGCATCGAGTCTTCTTTATGAAGATTGTACACTGAGCAAATGAGCATTTGCTAGCTAATGGCTAAGACAAAAACAAGTAACTGCACATCTGTTAATGGTGACTTCATAGGTCTCTTTAGCATTTTACCCAGGGAACTTCTTTGCTTGTGAATACCCTCTACTTGGTGGATAATGAGGAGAGCAAATGGGCAAGACTTTCTGCCCTAGGTTATTTGAATTAGTGGAGCCTCAGGGTTGACAGGTCAGGGTGGAAGATGAGCTGAAGGGTTGGAAATAGGGAGGGATGGAATCTGACCTGCAGCACAGCAGGATCCTGTGCTTTCTCCTGTGGCTCCTCAAAACTCTTAAGGACCCAGTCCTGAGTCTGACGGGAGCGGCTGAAAGTACCCAAAGGGCTCTTGCTCTGAAGTGGCAGTGGCTGTTTTGAATTGTCCACCGGGCTGTCATTCTTACTAGGGATCCAGTGTTTGGTGGACTGTGATTCCCGTTCCACAAGGGCGTCTTGTGGGGGCCGGCTGTCCAGGCTCTGGCTCCGCTTCCGCTGTTCATGTGGCAGGGTCCGTGTGCGACGACCAGTCCGACCCCTGACCTGACCCCCCACTTGATGGTTGAACTTGCTGATGAGTGAATCCACTGAAGACAGGGGAGCAGTGTCAATGGTATTACCTGGGGAAGGCTCTGGAGGGGCTAGCTCCAGCAAGCTGGAACTCCTATTGTTAGGCCCCATAAGGGTCGGGCCTGCCAGTGAAGCCTGTGACTGGGAACGGAGCAGTCTTCTATTCCAACGAGCCCCAAGCTCCTCATCAGACGTGCTGCCCTGGGAGGGGGCAGATGACCCCTGGACCTGAGAGTAGGGGTTTTCAGGGAGTTCCGAATCAGAGCTCAGAGTTCCTGGGGTTCCTTTGCTGTTGTCCCCCTTGATTTGGACCCCAAAGGAGTCACCCCCTTTATCTCCACTGTTAAGCACCACAAAAGGCTGTCCAGCGATGCCCTGCACACGTACAGCAACCCCATAGCTACTGGCTCTTGCATCCTTAGCAGGGCGTCGCGCACCACGGCGTAGTGTGGACTTCTCTGTAGCACCCTCTGGCTCTGTGATGAAGCGAATCTGAACTCCATGGTCTACAGGACCTCGGGGCTCAGCCATGGTGAATGCCTATTCCATGGACGGTGGGGGGACCCTAGAAGACAAAGGGAAGGGTTTTAGCTAAGAAACTTGATATAGAAACCCAGAAACTTCCATCCTCCCACTCTAGTGGGAGTCTTGTCAGTCCCTTCTACATAGCACCAGGATTCTCATACTTCATGTGAGTAGCAGAAATGAGATGTGAGACCCTGTCATCAGTTTCTAATTCAATAGAGTCTAGACTGGGATCTGAGATTTTATGTTTTTCACCACGTTCTCCTGGGCAATGCTGTTGGTACTTTGGTCCAGATAACATTAGCTCAGTGGTAGAGTACTTGCTAGCTTTGGTTAAACAGGAGCAGGGAAGGGTAACAAACACATAACACACTAAGAAGAATCTATTTCTGGGCTGGGATGGTGGCTCAGTGGTAGAGTGCTTGCCTTGCATGCATGAGGCCCTGGGTTCGATTCCTCAGCACCACGCAAGCAGAAAAGCCTGGATATATTTCAGTCTAATCTCCAATTAACCACCAAAAAGTCACAAGTGTGCCAGGTGCTGGTGGCTCACGCCTGTAATCCTAGCTACTCAGGAGGCTGAGATCTTAGGATTGCTGTTCAAAGCCAGCCCGGGCAGGAAAGACTGTGAGACTCCTATCTCCAATAAACCACCAGAAAACCGGAAGTGGCACTGTAGCTCAAGTGGTAGAGCGCTCACCTTGAGTTGAAGAGCTGAGGGACAGTGCTCAGGCCCAGAGTTCAAGCCCCATGACTGACAAAACAAAACAAAACAAAAGCCACAGGTTCAGGTGTGACTTAAGAGGTAGATGGCAAGCCTGGGGGAAAAAAAACTGCCAAGAGAGAGAATGAGAATTTGAGAATTCATACTCCAATACTGGTGTGCATGTGCGTGCATGCGTGTGTACACAACACACACACACACACACACACACACACACAAAGCTTTCATTTGGCGGGGTGCCAGTGGTTCATGCCTGGAATCCTAGCTACTCAGGAGGCTGAGATCTGAAGATCACCATTCAAAGCCAGTCAGGGCAGGAAAGGCTGTGAGATTCTTATCTCCAATTAACCATCAGAAAACCGAAGTGGTGCTGTGGCTCAAGTGGTAGAGCACTTGCCTTGAGCTGAAGTGCTCAGGGACAATGCCCAAGCCCAGAGTTCAAGCTCATAACCGACAAAAAAAAAAAAAAGCTTTCATTTGATCTTCATACATATAATATGAGGAAAGCACAGACTTCATGCCCTGCCTATCAGATACTTCTCTCACTGGAGAAAAGAGGGCTCATTTAAAATATAGAAGAACAGGGCTGGGAAGGTGGCTCAGTGGTAGAGTGCTTGCCTTGCATACATGAGGCCCTGGGTTCAATTCCTCAACACCACATAAGAAAAAAGCCGGAAGTGGCGCTGTGGCTCAAATGGTAGAGTGCTAGCCTTGAGCTGAAGAGCTGAGGGACAGTGCCCAGGCCTAGTGTTCAGGCCCCATGACTGGACCCAAAAACAAAAAACAAAACAAATGAAATATAGAAGAACAGAAAATAAGTTGTCCCATTTCTGAGAAGATATTCAAACTAACAGCAGTGCTGTCTCTGGGATGAGGAAACTAAAAGTTAGAGATATTCTCTGGGAGAATAGAAAAGGATGGACTGACTTTCTCTCTTTCTTTCTTTCTTCCTTTCTTTCTTTTTTTGTCGGTTATGGGTCTTGAACTCTGGGCCTGGCACTATCTTTCAGCTCTTCAGCTAATGGCTGTCGCTCTACCACTTGATCCATAGCACCACTTCTGGTTTTCTGGTGTTTTATTGGAGATAAGAGTCTCACAGCCTTTCCTGCCCGGGCTGGCTTTGAACCGTGATCCTGAGAACTCAGCCTGTAGTTACGATTACAGGTGTGATCTACCAGAGCCCGGCAGGGATGGACTTTCTACAGGGTACTTTTGTATGTCTTTTTTTTAACATATATATTTTTTTGGGGGGGGGGCGGGTCCGGTCGTGGGGCCTGAACTCTGGGCCTGGGCACTGTCCCTCAGCTCTTCAG